GACAGTCATTGTTAAACAGACTGTACAGTGGCTTATTGGAAGTGTGATAACTGTGGCAGGGCTCTCAAGCTGGTTTGGATAATGTCTTAAATATCTTATGGCTAGAGAAGCAGAACGTATTACGTTTACACATAGCCTTGCTAAAGTTGTGGCTCGGAGTCTTACTGCCCCTTCATCCTCAAGTAAAGGAACTTCTTTTGTTAATGTCCTTTCTCCTGTCCAACAGAATGTTAGGCTAGCAATATATTCAGAGTATTGTCTTTTGGTTACCTTGTCTAAAGTTAGTTCTATAAAATGAATCATCAGTTGAAACTAAAAATATAAAAAGTTGTTCAATACTAAAATTTAATCTTCTCATAATATTAATAGGAAATCACTTATAGCTGTCTTATAAGTAGCATTAGCCAGTAGATGTCATGATTTTATATATAATCTCGTGCCCAGTAATTGTTCATTATTTTAGAGGGATTGCCTATTTATATTATAGTCATATATTATTCTGTCGCTAGAATATTTTAGTCTGTTTGTATTGTATTTCGTCTTTAAGGTTTTCCCCCTATACTTCGTTAGTTCAGTAATTTTAACTTCTCTGTTTACATTTGTCTTCACATTAGTTTTCCAGGTTTTAGGCCACCGTTATACTTTTATTACCTCATTGAACCAGGATAAGATCAGGGTGGATTCAGACAATGTCTACCCTACTATTAATTAAGCAGTTAATTAGCTCTCACTTATCCTGAATCAACTGTAAATTGGGTACTATGTTTTTAGGCGTTACCTTTATCTTCCAATCAGGATCATGTCGCACCGTTGCTATATCAGTTTAAAGACATAACAAACGATCACGGTTTTCTCTTTATTAGTAAACGTATGGAATTGCTAGTCTATTTCGATTAGAGTCGATTATATCAAATTAAGTTCATTTATCACACTGAAACTCGGTGGTAAACTAGATTGACGTCAACTATAGCATCATTGTCAAGGAAAGAACGCACTGATATTACAACAGATAAAAAGTATTTAAGCGAAAGGGATTACTTTACAAATATTGAAAGCAAATAATTTGTACTGATATTAAAAACTGAGAGGATCAGAAATAGTTTAAATGATACCCGTGCTTCGCAAATATATATGTTTGTTTGCTAAGTTTAGGATTATCAGTATATAGATTGATTGTTTAGTCATTTGATATTACAAAATGTTACAAATTCAACAGTGGTAGAAAGTTTGGACTACTAGAAAAACAGAAAAATCTTAGCATGTATTAATTACTGTTAACTGACTGAATATTAACGAATATATATAAATGATGACAACATAGGCTGTTATGCTTTGTTACTAGTTTAATTATCAACTTACATACAGAAATACGGAAAAGTATGAAAGTCATCAAGATCAACAAACACTGTTCATGAAATAGTTCACTGAGGTACATAAAACAATATTTTAATATAACAATAAACTACAGAAATTTCCAAACAACACTGAACTTACATTTTCTATGCAATGCATGATTAAAAACAAAGTGAAACACTGACCCACGCAGACTATATAGTTGTGACAAATAGAATGATAACCAGGTTACTGTGAGAAGAAACACCAGACCCACGCAAACTATATAGTTGTGACAAATAGAATGATAACCAGGTTACTGTGAGAAGAAACACCAGACCCACGCAAACTATATAGTTGTGACAAATAGAATGATAACCAGGTTACTGTGAGAAGAAACACCAGACCCACGCAAACTATATAGTTGTGACAAATAGAATGATAACCTGGTTACTGTGAGAAGAAACACCAGACTCGCACAAACTATATAGTTGTGACAAATAGAATGAGAACCTGGTTACTGTGAGAAGAAATTATTTAAGTTATAACCTACATGCATGTATACTTGTTTCATAAGATTCAAACGGCAAGCAACAATGCTCGTTACTTATAAATTTTGCCTCGTAATGTTAGTTTATATGTATATAGGATACATTCGGGTGACGTAATGGCCTCTGTAAAGGAACTACCCACTTTTCCTATCAACGAGAAATAGTTTGTTGTTTCATATGATTTGCTCTAACAAATTAATATTCTTGGTACAAACAGACAATGTACTTGGTATTTAAGCGAAATGGGCTTCTTTGATTTTTTTATAAAAGAACTGAGGAAATTGAGTTAGCGATGACTTTGCTTTGATAACATATTTAATGTTTTCTGTTCGCCAGGTGTTGGTGTAGATGTATACAGATTATTTAATAACTTCATGTTATAACAAACATTATTTCATCAAAAATAGAACTTGTCCTCTTCTTCTTACTTTTCAAGTAAGCTCAGTTAGGGACCGATTCTTTATATACTTAGACTATATTAATATTGAATGGTCATCATAATTTGTCTTTTTGCTATTACATAAGGACGGAATTACGAAATAGTTTACTCTATGTAAAAACGAAGGCTAGAAATTAGCTAACTACATTCTTCTCCAATTAAGTAGACACCGTGCAGTTCCGACTAGAAACTATGTTTATTCAGCAAGTTAGCCTTTCTATCTAAGAACGCAGAAAATAGTCTCAAGAACACATTCCAATTTACAAATTAGGTAATGAGTTGTCGAATGTTTGATTTGTTTCAAATTTCTCACAAAGCTACTCGAGGACTGTCTGTGTAACCTCCCTAATTTAGCAGTGATAGACTAGAGGGAAGGCAGCTAGCTAGTCAACACCACCCATCGACAATTTTTGGGCTACTCTTTTACCAATGAATAGAGGAATTGATCGTCACATTATAATGCCCCCAGGACTAAAAGTTCGAACATGTTCGGTGACAGGGATTCGAACCTTCGATCCGCAGATTGTGAGTTATGCGCCCTAACCACCAGGCCATTGTCAACTGTTAACCAAGATGTTTGTAATAAAACGCAAACTCCTAGGTGGAAGAATAAAAGAACGTGTATAACGTTGCTAGCAAAACAAATCACTAATAGGGCTAGTGAAAACTTAAAAGATAAACAGAGCCAGATAATAACGTGTGGTCAAACAAGATTACTCAAAGCTGGCCTTGGACCGAATGCGTCACGAGTTGCTATGTAAGGATGCGACCATGAGATTTTCTTTTCAGTATAAGTTTTTCAAGCGTTGTTGTACTACATGTTTCGTAATATCCCTCCGATCGACTATAAAAGCAGGAGTTTACAACAAGAAAAAAGCAGCGGTAAACATAGAAAATTGTCAGAGAATTAGTCTCAGATACCCTTTGTCCAGTCTTGGAAGAATGACTACAGAGACTTAAAAGAGACTTAAATTAAAAGAGACTGATGCCGTTGTGCTATTCTTAACGATGTCACACGGAAGCTTAATGTTTTAGTGAGCTTCATCGATCCCGTTGTCATATTATCTACAATTTTGAACAAAAGCTGAATGTATGGTCTTGATTGATCCCTTGTTTCATTCTTTACAATATTAAAATGAAACTGAATCTATGTTCTAAACCGGTGTAGTTGTTGTGGTATTTCCAACGTTAAACGGAAACTTATTGTTTCATGATCTTGATAGACGCCTTTGTATGTTCTTTAAAAAGCTAAACGGGAGCTTATTGTTTACTCCGGTTCTTCCCTTTTGTATAGGTTCAACGAAAGTTTAACATTCAGTGATCTTACCCGATCCCATTGTCGTGTTCCTTAGAACGTTAATGTTCAATCACAATAGTCCATTTTTCAATATATTTTTAAGTATTTTAAATGGGCGACTAGTGTTTATTGATCTTAAGTCATGGCCTCGTTCAGTTTTATATTGTAAAATGGGTGCCTAATATTTCACCACTTTAGTCCATTCTAATAGTTGTAATTGTTTTACAAAACGCCTACTGATGAATCACTCTAAACCATCACATTGTTAATCAGATAATATTCAGTTGTTTTCTACCATCTTCTTGTGGCTTTAAAATATGTGTATATTGTTTAGCATTTTTCTTTCGTTCCATTTTCACTCTTTTTGAAAGAAAACCAATGGTTAAGAGTGTTAGATGTAAGTCTTCGACTCAATCTTTTCCTTTATTAGACTTTTGAATATCACAGAAATGTATGATACACAATTCTATTCACTCCTTACTGTGGTTCACGCATGTAGATCTTTAAATGAGCGCCTGATCCATCTTCTCTTCGTTTGTTCCACTACTGAATGCTTTACAACATTAAGCAAACACATGGTGCCCAATCACCTTAATCTACTTTATAATTTATCAAAAGGTTAAATGCGTGTCGATTGTTCTAGCACTTTGATCAAATCCGCTGTTGAATCCTTTCATCTTGAATAATTTCTTATTTTATTTTCACTGAAAAAGATTGACGTATTTTTATAATTTGTCCTTTATTGCATCCTGCTACAGAAAATATACATAGTATACAGTTATGGGATGTTTTATGCGGATAATTACTTATCTCATTATAATTGCTCAATTCTTGATATGTAAGAGAAACGTACGATAAAAACATTTTCCTGGATATTCGTGATTTCGTTTTAATGGAGAAGGTAACGGCGCTTTTAGTACGTCATATTTTTACTGCTTTTAATAGGTGTAGAACCTCCTAAAAGTTCTGTAAAGTTGGCAAGCTCTTCCTTTTCAACGTAATAGCTTATTTCATTTTCTCCGACGACAATAAAAGTGCATTTCTTCTTTTATTTTGTTACTAAATTATTATTTAATTCAGTCTTGTTGAATATAAAATATCTTCTATTTTTGAAGTCTGTAATAGTAACACCTACGTTTTCAGCTTTTTCTTCATAAATAATCCCTTACTTTTTTGTTCGAGTATATAATCGTAAGTTAGGTTATTTTGTTACGTAAATTTACATCTTAAGACTCATCTAAAATTTCATCTTTTTGATTCTGTCTTTAAATTTTTTTGTAGGTTAAAAATATACTTTCAATGACTCAGGCAGTAATGTATTTGTGGGATTACTATATGCTTCTTTATTAACGTATTACTGGGATATTAAAATATTGTAATGAAGATGGTTACACATAACTCCAGGACTGGCTTTTTCTAATTCTAGCCAAAATTTTATTAGCAGAGAAACTATGACGTAATGTTGTTGTTTTTACGTTAGTAACCTCCCATTGGAATGTAACTTCATGCTGATGAAGATCATCTACGGTGAGATAATTTTTGTCTCTATTCGCCTGTTCGAGTAATGACCTTGAGCGTTTCAAAGAAAATAAAACTCTTGGTGAGGAACTGTCATGAGAATCTTTATGGGAATTTTTGCCTCGGCCAGGACCTTGTAAATGGCTGATAGTAACGCACGTTTTCACGCTTTGACTACCACCAAGATCTGTCTTATGTCTAGAATATTCTTTACAATGACCATTGAGAACATTGTCAAGAGGTGTCGTCCTATTCTGTTGATTAAACTGTTCAGCGGTATTTGAAGAGGATATATCTTTATAGCAAAAACAATATCTGAAAACTTTGCGCGCACTAGTGCGAAAATGTTTATTCAACCAACAGTAAATGAATGGATTGTAACAAACACTGCTCATGGCCAGCCAGTGAAACATGAAAAAGTAGGTTGTGGAAGGAAGGAATTCCGGAGAAAGGTTGAAATCGATGATCAAGTGATATAAGTTGAGAGGTAGCCAACATATGGCGAACACAATACCCACTAGTATGAGCATTTTGATTGTCCTCCTCTTAGCTTGTAGCTGGCTAGCAAGTTGTTGCTCTGTGACGTCACCAATCGTTTCTCTTCTCCATATACGAACAACAACGCGTCCATAGGCCACAGTTGTCATTGCCAGAGGAATCACGTATTGGGTCAATGTGGTTATAAATGTGTGCCATTTTCGGTACTCTTCAGCAGGACTTGGATAAACTACTCGACATCTCATCATTAATCGATAGGAGAACACTTTTAGCACCTTATTAAAAACAGCATGACCGATAGCTAACAAAGCAGCCAAAATCCAGATGACACTAATAATTCTAGTGTTCCCAGTTCGTTTCCGTGGCATCAATGGATGAACAATGGCACGATAACGATCAATTGCAATACAAACCATAGTAAAACTGGATACGTACACAGTTGTAACCTGCACAAAAGGTAGAAGACCACACATGACCTGTCCAAATGGCCAGTTTGGCAACAGCAGTCTAGCAACATTAAAAGGAATATTTAGTACAGTCATCAATAAGTCCGATATTGATAAATTCACAATGAGTATGTTAATCTTTGTGCGCCTTCCTCCTCGTTGTAACACAGTATAACAAATAAGCCCATTACCAAATACGGAAATGATGATAATTAGTGTGTAGAAGAAAATTACAAGTACTTCTTTTGTGTAATCGTAATGTTGGTCGAACAATTCTATAAACGTTTCACTCCAGTTTCGCAGCAATAACTTCAGAACATCCGTCTCATTTTCCGCCACCGTATGTTCCATCAAATTCCTAAATACTTCATCAAAAAAGATGTCATAATATTGTTCGTAATCGTCTGAAGCAACGTTTACCGAGTTTGAACTTTGGTTAATTAGCTCCATTATGTTAATCGTCGAACTGTATGAATAGTTAAGTTCTACTTACATCAGTACTTTTTCAAGTACTTCTCTTTTAACAGTCCTGAAAAATAAAGGGAAAAAGTAGAATTAGATAAAACATTACTTTTCAGACTGTTTAAGTAGTATAAAAAATAAAACTTTGTAAACTACTGTGATGCAAATATGCATCATAAATATTGTAAAACAAAGTTTCCATACATGTTAAACGTATTCTTATCATTTATGTGGAGCATACATTTCATGTTATTTTTATTATTATCATAAGAAGGTCGCTTTTTTTGTAATAATGCTATGTTATATATTTTTTGTTTTGTTTATTTTCTTATATGACAGTATTTCAAGGAGACAACTAGTGTTTCCGTATTCTCTAGATAAGGTATATTATAATGTTTATGCTTCGTTACTTTCATTAATAATATTATTTATGCTGTTTAGTATATCAAATGCTTGTATTTTTTATTTTGGTTTACCGTTTATTGTTCTAATTTTATTATAAAGATTGTTTTGCATTGTAGCTTAACATATGTATGTATGTAGGACTAACTTAAATCTACTAAACTGGCCATTGTAGCTTAACATATGTATGTAGGACTAACTTAAATCTACTAAACTGGCCCAGACTCGTGAGACATTACTGGGTTTCGGTCGAAAGAAGTTTCGTTAACACCAAGAGCATCCAACTACTGAAACAATGCATTCGAATATTTAAAAGCAGTAAAGAATAAAACGTATTTCTAATTAGCTATACTGAATGCCAGTTGATCTTGTAGTCTCGCTCTAAGTACAAAGCTTGCTCAGATCGGAGGTTAATATTCATTGTTTATTAATGTTTCTTGTAGTTATTTTTTTAAATTAGACTGATGGATTTTATTGTTCAAAGTAGGCTGAATGAATATTTTTCATAAGCTTTTGTCAAGATCAATCAAGAGATATTTTGAAAAACATAATGTTTCAGAAGAGCAACAGCTCAAAAATAAAGAAATGAGATGGGAAGCAGTGAGTTAACGTAGTGTATAGTAGAGAATGAATTGACAGCTGTAGTTCAGATTTATTATTTAGTTAGTACGTACGTTTTCCTGTACATTATTTTTAAACTGTCAATGAGTAACATGAAATAGGCCTAGAATTGCGTGTTTATAATCAATTAGAGGCCTAATGTTATTGTATATACATGATTGAGTTATTTCTTTCTGAAACCTGAGAGAAATCGAAACTTTGGCAAATTAACTGTTACGTTTGATTTACTAACTACTGTATAAATTGGTGTAAATGTTTAAAATAGCAATTGTGAACTTTTGTTTTCCGCAGAAAAATATGTAATTTAATGAAGAAAATAAATAATCCATAAGTGGTGTATAGGCCTAACAACCTAGTCTTTGATTTACTACTCCCTCTGCAATAGATTAATTTCGCCGAATTCACGGCTTGAATATTCTTAGTTATCTAATACTCTTCACTAGTTTACTTTTCATATAACATTGTATTTCATCTTCTAAGATACTAATACATCATGTTCTAAGTAGAGTTCTTTGGGTCATTGCCCCATTGTAATTTAATGGCATAATTATCTCATGACAATATTTTCTTCAACGTATGTGATAGCTTACAGGAATCGTTCGGCAGACCAACTATATAAAAAGCTAAGAATTATATAATTTTCTAAGACATTTGTAGAAAGAGTGTCTACATATCCACCAAAAGCTAAACCTTTTCAGAACTGGTCAACAAGTACAAGTCAGAACATTCCATGACCCAGCATATAACACCACGATTTTTAGCTAACTTATAATATAACCTGTCCTTCTCACAATAGGATTAAGAAACTATACAAGATCTGTTGTACAGAAGAATGTAAAAAGACATAAGTCTCTCAATAAAAGCCCAACATCATCAAAAGTATTAACTTGTTTGACTGCTGAAGGAACTCCTATCTTAAATACAGATATCAGTGGTTCCTTAATGGGAGTTGACTTATCACATTTAATAGAAAGGAAAATGTAATATCCTACATTAGTAAATCTATACCTGCAAGACTTGAAAGGAGATGATTCGTATTGTCCGAATGATAAGTAATTTCAACACTACAAGCAAGGATAGAAGCTATTTACTAATTTATTCATTTGTTAATTCTTATGTAAACATATTTATGTTTGGATTTGAGAATAATTGTTTTCATTTCTGTACTTACTATTTTTAAAGTAGCTCTTTCTTTACCTTTACCTCTACTTTTCCATGTTTCCTTTTCTGGGTGTAAATACTTTTAGATCTACTTATATAGAGTGCAAATAAAGTGTCTTTAAATAAGTTTTAACTTTACTGTTTTTTAGCTTTGTGAGTCGTTCTTTTGCAATTACATTTAATCCATTCTCTCTCTCACTAGCTCCCCCAGAGGCTCAGCCATAAGTCTAAAGGCTTATATATAATGCTTTAAACTGGATTTCGATAACAATAATGGATACAGTACAGAAAGCCTATTTGTGTAGCTTTGAGCTTAGCAACAAACAAACTCTCTCCCTAAAATGTCTTCAAGTAAAAATATTTTTTTCTTTTCTTATTCATCCATTATGTACTCTTTAAAACTCTTTTAATACTTGCAAATTACTCAGTAAGTCATTGCATAGGTATTATTTTACTGATGAGAGTATGTTACTTGGAATTTTTTCTCCAATAATCATCAAGTGTTTAACATTATGTCTATGAGCTACATACCTGTACAAACAGAAACCAATGAAAATCTGATGTACAAAAATACACTGTATATATCATAGTTGATAAAAAACATTCAATTAATTGTAGCAATGAACCATTCTGTGTCTCAAAATTTCCCAGCTGGATATGCCTAAATATTTCACCCTATTCAATTAAACTATTCTTGGATATGACAAAAAATTGTTTCAATCGACTAAAGCGTTTTATGTTAACATATTACAAGTGAATATGTTTATCTATTTGTGACAATTAAAAGTTTATATATCCAAAAGAATCGTACTTTAGTTCCTCATATAGTATTTAAATATAGTTCATTTTACATCATTCCTTCCTAAATTCAATAAGCTTTGACAAGTTGGTGGAATTATTCCTTCTACGTTAGACTCAGGGAAAACATTACATTTCTAAGGTGTCATTATACTGTCCTCCGTTGTAGATTTCATAACATCTAAAGGAGACCTCCTAGAAAATGTTTTGAATATACATTTCACCTTCTCTGAATCCAAATATTTACTCACATGTTTTCCAACTCGTGGATAATTTATGTAGATGGGAGTTCTAGGGGAGACTCCATAGGATCAATCAACGATGTGCCAGTATCAAAAGTCTTCAAAAGGTGTTGTTGACATTGTGTACTGTACTGATGTTTAGATAAAGCCCTCATAAAATCTTGACATTGTTACATTGTCATCTATGTGTTGAACATTTGACAGTATAAAACGTGTCCGCTGTAGTATTCCATGGTGATTGTGGCTAGTGGGGACCAATATTTTGCTTTTTCTTATAGAAATCTATTACCATGAAAAAATATACAGAAAACAACCGTGAAAAAGGCCTCTGAAGCAAAAAAAAATCACATTTTACTACAATTGTTGTGCCTGTGTTTTTGAGCTTACACTCATTGCAAGAAACCTCTCTTAATAACATATCTCCCTTTTTCATTAAAAAAGACTTAAACTCTCCCAAATTGGTTAAAAAACTAAGATCTAGCTACATGTTGGTCAAGGTGCCACAGCTGCATGACAGTGTACTCTTCTTGAAGTTAAAGGTCACTGGGAACATATCTATTGAGGTAACACTCATAGGGCTTTGAACTCCTCGAAGAGTGTTATTGTTGAAAAGGGTCTCCTTAAAGTGGTATATTCTCACTGGTCTTTCCAATCAAGGAGTATCAATTGTAAGTTGTAAGACAAATCTCCATTCATAAGAATGGAATATCTCAACTGCCTTGAATTCTCATTTTCATGTTTACACCAACATATCAGCATGCAAATGTCAAGGTTATTTAAAATGCAGAGTCAGACCTAATATTCCAAACCCTCTCAGTTTTTCTTACTGTCAGCGGTTTGGACAGTCATAAACATATTGTGATGGTTCTTTAAGTTGTACTCGTTGAGGTAAAAATGACAAATACATGTGAGTGCAAGCTAAAACAATGATTCTCAGCTATTTTACTTTATATCATGTCCTAAATAGATAGGAGAAAAAGTAGCACAGTGGATAAAAATGTCAATGAACTCTCCTCTCCAGAGACTTAAATTGACGTTATGACTTAAATGAACAGAATGCACTCTGGAATGATGGAGGTATTGATGGGAGGGATCAATCTGTGGAGCCTTGGGATATGCATACTTACATGGCCTGGCCAGGTGATTAGGGTTTTGGACTCGCAATCTACTGGTCGCGGGTTCGAATCCCCGTCCTACCAAACATGCTTGCCCTTTCAGCCGTGGTGGCGTTATATTGTGACGGTCAATCCCCACTATTCGTTGGTAAAAGAGTAACTCAACAGTTGGGGAGTGGGTGTTGATGACTAGCTGCTTTCTCTCTAGTCTTTCATTGTTAAATTAGGGAGGGCTTGCGCAGATAGCCCTCTGTATATATGCGCGAAATTCAAAACAAGCAAACAAAACCTATTTCCATGCTCTGAGACTCATTTTTACTGCTATAGATCTGTCAATTTATTCACTTTGTTTCCTTCTTTTTTTTCTAGAGAAGTGGTAACTGGTCAAGGAGACAATGATTATTTTCCCATCATTCTGGAGAAGATTGGCTGCAGCCCATGATACTCAATTTGTGCGCCACAGTGGAAGATGGAGATGGCCAACTGGCTCTCCTTCAATATTTAAGCTAGATCCTGCAATCCCTAATGTACTATCTGTTAATAACTGCAAGGAAGCAGCTGTACTTACCATCCCTAAAACCTCGACATCTTTTCTACAGTATCCTCTTCCACAGTGGACATCAGACTTGCAACCTAATGGCCAAATTGTTTCTGCTTCACAAGGAATTGCCATCTTACTTGGACAGTGTTTTTCCCACCACTCTAGCACCGCAAAATGTTCTGCTGCC